CCTGCTCAGATCACGATAGCCTACCCGAACCATTTCAAGCAACCAGGCGCAAGGCGTCCTTCTGCTTTCTAGCAGAGACCATGTAGTCATCCATTTGGTCGGAGTCCTCAAAGCTGTGATCAAGTCATAAAGTTGCACATCATCCAAACGAAACAAAAAAGGCTCGTTTTCTAACCCATTTCCTTTGGCAAGTCAGTCACCACTCTCTTGGCCTCGTCGCTTTCACCATGAAACTTCACTTTGGCGAGCCTCACCATGTGGCTCCATGACCACCAAAGCGATGGACGTGAGCGCGCTTCGAAGTGCTCCGTTTGTGCTTCGACGTGCTCGACCTGGACTTGGCGGTGGCGGCCACCTCTTCCCTTTTTCTTCGAGCCAAAGCCAACAAACGCTGCTTCTTCTCCTCGAAAAGCTGACAGCTGTACTGGAAGCATTTCAATACTCCGAAAGGAGGACCGTTTCTGATCTCAAAAGTGTCAAGTCAAGTCATCATCGGTGCCTCGTAGGTCTCATTGGCAGGAGCACTTTCGTCTTCTGCTTTGTTAGCCTTCCGCCGCCTAAGTCAGCTCAAGAAGTGTGATCACATTCAAAAAAAAGTACATAAAATTAGAATTACACTAATTAAAGCAGATCACGGCATTCTTGTTGTTTTTAGAATGACGTGCAACCGCGAAACCAACGCTTTTTTCATGTTTTTTCCAGCTCAAAAAACTTGCTCGGACGAGTCAGAAGTTTGGCAAGGAACATTTTCTCTTCTCTGTCTTTCCTGTCCCAGAGACTGATGGACAATGCGTTGCTCAATTCTGTGGCACAAGAAACATTTCACCAAAGGAGTGCCTTTCCCTTTCGATTTCAGCTCTCCGCTTGGCAGCAGCATCCTGGCACTCAAGAATGCATCAATCTCCTATGCATATTTGGTCTTTGGCGTTCAAATCCGTCCATAGCCCATCAAGGCACTTTGGTGCCTTTTGTCAGCCCCAACTATAATGCCACTCACGCATGAGGTCTTGCAAGTTCTTGGAACGTCTGGCCTGATGCTCCTTTTCCTGTGCCTGTGGAGCTGGTTCTGGCTGATCGCCCTGCCTCGGTGAACACCAATCTGTAGGGGGTGCCAACCATGAGATCTCGTGTTTTTACAAGAGGCAGCTTCAGAGCGTTTGAGATCTCTCGTTTCCAGCTTCATTGCGCCTGTGTTTCTGCGCCTCAGCAACCTGCAGTCAAACTCTTACAAAGCCTTCATAAAATTTGCCTGACCTGGAATGTTTACATGTCATTTCTACATTTGAGTAAACTCTAAGACTCTAAGTGCTTGTGAAGGCCACGACCTAACAGCTTGATGAAAGCGAGTGTGTTCAAGCTACTTTTGACATGTCCAAAATGACCGTCAAAGCGTCTCGGTCGTCCCAGTGCCGCTTTCTGGACACCGAGCCCGGCCCGCCTCTGCACGCCAGGAATAGCCTTGCTTCCGAGCCAACAAGCGCTCTCGACGTCGCACCTGGAGTGGATCGCGTGCTTCGTTGCACAAAGCAGTGGCAGTAGCCTCTTCTTCTCACAACAAGCAATGGCCTCTTCTTCTCTCTTCTGCTCACCCCTGAATCACTTCCAACACAGCGTCTAAGGAAACATCACAAATCACAAACTTCCCCAGCTGTTCCTGTTTGTCCAAAGTCTTGATAAGCGTCTTTCCCTTGCCTTGCTCGAGCTAGTTCCTTCCGTTGAAGCTCTTGACCTGCTGAGTCACTAAAGTTCATGCAAACAAAGTGTTATCTTCTCTCACAGCCACTCAGCTCTCAAACATGGAAGCTTTGCTCTTGCGCTGCTCTTCTTTGGCCCGCCACTCCGCCTCATCTTGCCTGATAAAATCTGTTTTGGACTGAGCTGCGACAGCTCAGAGCCGTTACTTCACCGTTGCTTTGGCTCAGAGCCCTTCCCCGCCTTTCCGACTCCAAACGCTTTTGTCGCAGCTCCTCCACATGTTCTTGTCTACGTCTTTGCTCTTCCGCCTCAGGAAGCGGAACTCCTCCAGTCGCGCGTTGTGCGTTCCATCTCTTGCGCGCACTGGCCTGCTTTTCTGCTTCTTGCTGCGCGAGCAAAGCCTGGAAGGTGTAAGGCAAATTGATTTTTCAGGCTTGTACCAACCTAAACGTCAAGCTAAAAATGGAGCCTTCGCTTCCAACTTCTCCCGTCTCTTCTCTTCAATGATTAGGCGGCGCTCTTCCTCTGCCCTTGCTTGAATCGACTAGAATTGGAATTGGAATCTAAGAGAACAAAGGCAAGTAGTAGGAACCTACTGATGAGACGGACATTTTGAAGTGTTCGTTCGAGTTGAAGCCAACAAGGACAGGACTGGCGCTTGGCTTCTTTCTCCTCCTTAAGTTTCCTGCATGGTTGTGCAAGCAAATGAAGTGAAAGTCCATTCATATTAATGAAGCTGTTGCAAACAGAACTTTATTGAAGTTCCATTTTAAGATCCTTTAAAACAGTCACAAAGTGCAGGTCCTCTGCTGCTCTTGGTGCTCACGCCGCCGCTGCTCCTGGGAAATCCCTTCAAACTGGCAAGGAATTCAAGATAATTCAAGAAAACATTGCAACTTACTGCACCTGAGCTTTGGGCCAAGCTGGAGCAACTCAAAAAAAATAACACTCTACAAGGAGGCGATGTAGGCAGCTGGTTCGGTCCTCCTCCTTCCTCCTTTGCTCTGCTTCCTGACAAGTGGTTTCTGCAGGTCACTTTGCTGAAAGCATGCTTCCATGCTTTGACCTCAGTTCCCGACTTTTCGTTGCTGCTCCTCTTCTTGTTGCTTCACTCGCTCAGCATGCTCGCGCCGAATGGCACGGGCATCCCGCCGGAAGGCGTGCATCGTCTTGTTTTGCAAAAACTTGCCCAACCTGCAGCTCAGCTGTCTTGGCTTCCACACTTCTTTCTCACACTTTCAACTCTGCAAAAAATGCAGGTTCTTAACGTTCCGCCTGAGCAGCTTATGTCTCTTCTCCTGCTCTTCCTTTTGCATGCGCAGCTCCTCTTCTTTCTTGACTTCTTGACCATCACTTGCCTCCTGTACGTTGCAGCACTCGGTGGGATCAAGCCGGAACAACCTCTAAAGCTACTAATTGTTTGCCTAAGCAACTTCTGGCGATGCCTTTGGCAGCCGTTGGCCCTACACCTACTGTGTTATAAAAATGCTATGTGTGCAAAGGGAAACTGAGGAACTTAAAATAGAAACGGGGAAGTGACATGTCACCGGGTCGTGCTTGGTGAGAAACATAGAATAGATGGAAAATAGCTAAATTGCTAAATATTAAGGAAAAACTGTAGAACTGCTTGCATTCTGCACAAGCAAGAGGGTGTTCATAGTTGATGAAGTACTTGTGAAATTAAGGTCTTGAATTGCCATTCCACCTCGAGTGCCCAGTTCACGTAGAGTCTCCACTTCCCATAGACTCTCCAGTTTACATAGAGTGTTCATTTCACAGAGAGTATTCCTGTCACATGGCTAATTAATAATTTCATTGCTTTTTGCATCATAATTTCATGCAAAGCTCTGTTTTGGCTGTCACAAGGAGATTAGGTTGAAAACTATCATTCTTTTTGATGATGTCCCACGCTCTTTTCATAAATTCCAGTGTCTTCGGACTTGTCGGTAAACCAGAACTTTGGGAATAGCAGTGTTGGAGCAAAAGGTGACTTGGTGTTGGCCCAGGAGTTTTAATTGTTTCATGTCAGGATTTCAGGCAACGGTTTGATTTTACGTAATGGGCCTTGATGGGCCTTGTGTCGGGGACTCCTCACTTCATTAGCTCTGCTGTACACAAAATCGTTCGTGTTGTTTGTATCAATGAAAGTCGTATGGAACTTGTGGACTTTGCGTATTCCGTTCAAATGAAAAAGAAAATCAGAAGGTGCGCCGCGGCCTCTGTGGGAGAGGTAATGACTGAGTTGTAGGCTGCCTACAAGAAGTTTCCACTTTTTGCCACAATTGCGTTTGTCCAGAAGATGTCCAGACGTCTCAAAACTGGCATTAAGACGAATCTCTTGAGCTGGGTATCCATGCTCTGTGATGAGTGCGCCCAAATATTTGGCTTCGGATGAAGTCTGCATTCTTTTTCGATTCCTGAAAAGTATGTTGCCTCTAGGGGAATTGAATCAGATGTAAGTACACTTACCATGGTGTAGTTTCAACTGTAGATACCCCGACTCTTGTTCGATCAAATGCAAGTAGACGTTGGCCGACCTAGCACTACGGGCGTACAGCAGTTCTTGAAAGTCAATACCTTGAAAGTATTTTCGATGCTGCAGGTCGTTGCATTCACTATTGACACTTAACATCATGGAAAAGGACATGCATTGTGAGGATGAAAAAATCAGGGCTTAAAGGGCAGCCCCCGAGCTAACTACATTCTGCACAACTTGCCACCACCGCATACCAGGGTCTTCCCAGAAAACCATGACCTAGCAGTTGCTTGTTCCAATCGCTTTCAAAAGTTAGCGTTCTGGATGACTTTAGAATATGGATTGGAATAAATGCTCTTGATGTCCAGGAGAGCTGAGGGTATGCGCAATCTTGCAAGCCATAAAAAACATGTTTCATGGTCAATTTTATCAAAAGCCTTCTCCCAGTCCAGGAATACTACAGTAGCTGATTTCCTTGTTCTGCAAAGTCTGTAAGACGGTGGACACAATAATAGCGGGTCGGCTGTGGAGCGGCTGGCTCTGAAGCCAACTGAGTGTCAAGATATACAGAACACAAACAAAACTAATGAATATGTTTTGAACAACACGGGTGAAGATGTTGTAGCTGTTATTTGATTTTAAAAGAAGATAATGGAACGGTACTTTGCCTAATTTTCAGGATTGTCATGAGCTAAAACTTTATGCAAACATGATACGTGGGCTTACGTGATGTTATACAAGAACGCTCTTGCCAGAAAGCGGTTAAGCAATATGTGAATGCTTGGATGTAGCGGTCATCTAGTCATTTGAAGAGCTCGCTGATGGCTCCATCACGGCCAGCGGCTTTGTTGGCCTTGATCTTGGGGATTACTCGTTGTATTTCAGGTGTTGAAATGGGGCTTACATTGAATGGAAGTTCATGATTGAAAATGTTCCCCTTGTTTCTGTCAATGGGCGGGGCCCATTGCTTTTCGTGTATATATATATAACTATATATATATTATATATTATACAGTAGATATACAAGTATTACGCTGTGGCGTGCACTTTTTTTGGAAAGAGGCACTCATTGACCCCGGATATCTTTGATACAATATTGTAATCGTGTCGGGTATAGTCTTGTTCTGCTTTTACACACAAATTTGTTTCCAAGCAGTTCTGGAATCGGTCAGGTGGTCTAACTTTTGGATTATCCAACGTAATTTATCTGCCTTCGCATGTTTCTTGATCTCCCGGTTCAGTTTTTGTTCTTGGTCGGTGCGACCTTGTATACGAGCAGTTTGTCTTTGTTGTATCATATTCCATGTCTGTGCCGAGAGATAGGCACGATTTGATGTGGTTTCTTTTGCTGGAAATGCGCTGGAGCAAGCGGTCGAGCGTCCATGGACCTTTGAAACCATCCGTGCAGGACTCTTTGACAGTGCATTTGTTCTTTTCATGTCTTGGAAGAACAGGTTGGATACAACGTAATCATTCGCAATGAAGGAATCACTCAAAGTTGACGATTCTCGCGTTGTTCATCAGGCAGCGATTGAACGTAGTGATTTTCCAAACCAAAGACATGCGGACGGCGATGGATTGAATATCTCGTGCCGGCGATCCCAATGTTCTGCCGCTATGGGGTGCGTAATTCCTGAAGCCGACCATTATGTAGAACACAATCGGACATCAAGTCCTAGATGTACTGACGTTGGTCTCTTGCAATGCCATAATGTCAATGTCATGTTCCTTCCTAATCTTATGATTGGAGGCCATCGCTCTTAGGTTTCATGTTTTTGTCTGGTGGAATTTTGACGCTAGGTGGGGAATACTGCTTCAATAGGTTAGGTTCTTGGGTTTCAAAACCTTGCAGGGAGGCTGCAGCCAGCTGCCTCAGTGTTGTGCCGCTTAACTGATTTACTTGACCCCAAATTTGTCAATGTCTTCTTCTAAGGTCTTCCAGCTTTCAAACCGCAACCTTTGTTTCTTGTAGTTTCGCAGTCCTCTTCTTGTTTAATGTGGCATTTGGGAAATTGCTTTTTGAGCGTCATGGTTTTGGTACATTTTTTGATGCTGCCAGATAGAGAAATCACCTATCTGTGCTGTCCCGGAGAAGCCTCGAGAAGGGAGGTCATTTGTTACATGCGTCCACCGTTGGGGGACACAAGGCTTCTTCTGAGCAAGTGTGGCGAACTGTTGACATCGACAGTACAAGGGGTGTCCTGCGTAGACAAATGCTGTTACCACGAGGGGAACGCAAAGAAGTTCAATGTTCGACGAAGAGTTGTTCGACGCAATAGGACATAGCGAAGAGTTGTTCAACGTGAAGAATGTGCTCCAAACATTCAGTGGAGCTGGAGCTTGTCCACGAATTCTGGCCACCAAATCTTGAAGTATAGAATCTAGAACGTTCGAACATCAGGCCCCCGTGCATCAATGGCAGCAGCTGAATACTTGCAGAATGAAGCTTGTCGCAAACAACGTTCGGCACTGCTCGAGTATTCACAAAACAAAGCCTTTCTGATGGGAATCATCGCTCCTCGGAACCACTGGAAGCAGTAGTTGTGGGAACTTCTTGTCCAGAGCGGGTTGCAGGAACGGAATTGGTCATGTCCTTCATCCAACACTTGTCCACATCAAAAAAGCAACTGCATCATGAAGAGCATAAAATCATCTAAAATCAAAACTTCAAGTTGCACCTGGTCCAAGACCAGCTTGCCATTCACGGTCGTTACCCAGGTCCATGGAATGTGCTGCACGATGCCAAATTCGAAGAGTACGTCAATGCCGGAAGCGAAGCTCTCCTAGTGTGAAGCAAGAGGTCTTCAATTGCTGAGCTTAGTCTTTGCATTACTGTACAAAGATATGCAAAGATTATTGTTTCTAGTAATTAAAGGATGGCAACGTCAATTCACGTGGTTTGCCGCGTAGCTGCTAAGTAGCATTTCCTGTCCCAGGAGGTGACTCATTCATATTCACTCTGGTCCATGGTAGTGGGAAATACACATGAGGCCAATCACGGGAAATCACTGCATATTCACTGCAGCTCTTCTTGCTCAAAAATCATGTGTTTGCAGCTCCTTGCATTCACCATCAAAGGGGCTAAAGCTCTGCTTGCCATCAGGTAAGCGGAAATATGCTTCCATCTTCATGCCTGCCTGAAGAAAACTTCAGAAAGCGAGATTGTGCACAGCACTCTTCAAGATGTGCCCTGCAATATGAAGAAGACCAGCGGTCTCGGTACATCTGTTGGCAAACAGCCTCTCTTCCACTCTTTGTAATGATTAATGTTCCGGAAGTTATTCACCAGAATCATCCGCCCACCTGCAACTCGGCCAAGGGCCCAAAGCAGGCCGTACTGATACTGTGTGTGGCTTTCTCGCACCGTTCTTCTTGCCTCAACCCACGCAGCATTCTCTGACATTGGAAATGCAATCACAAAGCCTTTCGTTCATTCAAGTTGTACAGAAACTGCCAACACACGGCCTGCTAGAACTTGACCCTTCCTTTGTTGTGTCGCCGTCTCTCTGGTGAGAATCTGTGCTACCTTTTTGGTCTTCGCACGAATCGCTGTACCTGAACCAAAAATTGAAAATGGACCACATATCGTACATACCGCATTCCACTGCAGTAGAAAGGGAGTTTGACAAGGTGAGATCAGATTCCACAAGACCACACCCCAAGAACCTGTTCGGGTATTTTCGTGAAGCTTCTGATCCTGCATCCTCTCCACTTCCTAGCTCTTCAACGTCGGAACCCTCACTATCTTCTTCTTCCTCTTCCTCCTCAGACTCTTCTTGATCTGCACTGCTGTTCTGTCCTTCTTCCATGGACTGGTCAACTTCAGGTTCTTGTTCGGCTCCTTCTGAGTGGTCCTCAAAGGCCTCTGCTTTCCCGTCATCTTCATTCTCTTCATCGCGTTCTTCATTCCCGTCGTTGGATTCGCTCTCCTCTACAAATCCCTCCTCATCTGACTTCTCCACTGAGCAAGCATCAAAGCCTGGCTTCGTGAAGCAGATGTCTTTGTGAAGCTTCCAATCCTTCCAGGTGACGAACGAGAATCACAACTGGACAGTGTCAATGCAAGCTTCTCCGCACAAACACCTTTGTCGAGTCTATACGTGCCGACGGGGCTCCTTACGCTGGCAATCTTCGGAGCAGTAGAAACAGGAATTGCATCGACTGCAAACATAGTCCACATCCTGTCATTCCATTTTCTCAAAGGGACTCTAAAGTGAAAGGACCTCAGATTGGACATGGAGGCGGGCAGACTCGACCAGCCTCAATAGTTCCACAGTGCGCACATTGTAGAGCCTTGGTGTGGTCAGGTTTCAGGCCATCCAACGATGTGATGCCAAAACACCAAGCAAACAGGCCAACGCATCAATTCCCTAGGCCGCGCACCTCCATGCTGCAGCTTTCAGAGCTTCTCTCAAGAGCTCCAAATCTGTGTCTTGCAGCTTTTGACTTCAGGTCTGCCACTAAAATTAAACGGGTCGACCGATCCAAACTACTCTTGGCATATTGTACTCTTCTGTCAAGTGAGAATTGGGGGGACTGCCTTAACAAAACAGCCTTGAGCCAAGAGAGTCCAAAAATCAGGTGTGGGACGAAGTTGCTTGCATAATCCTCCTCACCAGTCGCTCACCATCAGTTTATATAATCCCCTCCTTTTCTCCACATCTCCAAGGGGTCGCAGTGTTCGAATGTAATGGACACTGGGCTCAGTTCATCCGTCTCAAGAGGTCGTTGATCAGGTCCTGGAGAAAATAACAAAAAATATATACGGCTTTTAAAACATAAGGAAAAAAAAAAGAAAACAACTAGTTAAAAATGTCTAAATCGAATTGTTATTTTTGTTTCGGTCGCAGGGCTCAAAGAACTCTCTCTCCCCCTCTCTCTTGCACATAACTCTCCTCGCGGTTGCCCCAGTCACCCCCACGAGCTTCACAGAAGCCATGACCTGGAAGGATCTCAGCCAATGACTGTCCTGGTTACACAAAGTACTTGGGTGAATTCTGGATCTAAGCTCCCAACGCTTGTTGATGAAGCCACCCTTGGGGGAGGAGAGCTTGAATGGCCACAAGAAGTTGGAGACCTTCGCAGCACCCAGCACACAAACACGTTTGCTGGGACTGAAGAAAAAAAACGATCAGCTTGATGTTGCCTGCTTGAAGCTGGGGCCAACGGTATAGATTTCATGGATGATATCCTCCATTCCATGAATGCCGTGCCTTGGAGCACACGGAAGACATTGGTGTTTACCTTTTTGCTCCCTTCGTAGCGATGCCAGGAGCCCCTAGTAGCTTCTTGTTCTTAGTAGTAAGGCCAGGAGCCTCTGTAGCGTCCTTGCTCCTAGTAGCGATGCCCTTTGCTACTATGTATCTCACAATGTGTCCATGGGACTTGCCCAAGTTCTCAGAGATGATGTCGTTGGAGGACAGTGGAATGCGCTGCTTGCTCACCTTTGCACAAGCTTTCGCTGCTTACTGAAATGTCTTTCAAACTTTCCTGTCGGAGCTCAGTCTCCAGCCTTGCCAAAGCCACGCTTGTAGATCAACTCCCTCACTGTCTTCAAGGAGGGATAGCCATAGGTGACATAAGGCTGCACAAGTTTCAGCATGTTCAAGATCGGCTTGTTGACCTGTCATCTGTCGCAGTCAATCTCCAAGTCTTGAAGAGCAACGCAACAGCTGTTTGCCTTCAGAAAGACTCCATTGTGCAGCTGCTTCAGCCGCAGAAGTTGCAGCACCTTCCTGCCAAGATATTCCGAATGGATTAGGACCATGTACAGAACTGGCACCTGCTAGGCTCTGGGAAATCGGGGACATCTCAATGCGAACGCGGTAGGATGCTCATCCGTCCTGGGCTTGGGGCTCATCTTCATGATACCCGCGATGCGCACCACGAAGATCAGTTTTGCCTCACAGTTTGACCAGCTACTTCACCAGTCTCACTAGTTGTGGCCATGGACCCTCAGCATTTATGTTCTTTGTGCTGCTGGTTGTCCCAAAGAAACAAAGAATCGCAAAGAACATGAAACATGACTTCGATTGGAGAAACTGCTCAACCTCAATTGCTAATCGCTGAATTTCCCCGTTTTCCCCTGTGTCGCCTCAGGCTCCACGAAGAAGTTCCCATTCAGCTTGGCTTCTCGCCGGAGCTTCACAAGCTCTGCGGCTGTGTCAGCATACTCCTGGTGCTCTCCGAGAGGAACTAAAGCGACGAATGAAGCGACAATCAAGTCAGGGAAGCGAAGTGAAGAAGTCAGGACGATGATCAGGAAGGAAGTTATATATCTATGATTAGCGACTATTGGTAGAGCAATTTGAGATACTTGCTAATGTTTCGGACCTTGCACCTTGCAGCAAGGTCAAAGAAACGGTGGTGACTTCATTCTGAGTCCCGCTCCTTCTCATAGGCAGCTGTACGCTCCTTGAGCTTTGCTCGCTCTTCCTGTCAACAGCCAAGGCAAACATCTACAACAGTGCTTCCGTAGTTGGATATCACACTACAGCGGTCCTAAACATCTACGAACTACAAAAGCGATGCGGTCTGCTCATTTTGGGGCTTCACTTTTCGATCTATAATATATCACTCTCATTCTTTTCCGCCACTTGCTCAGATGCTCTACCCTGCT